AGGTGGGTAAAATCGACGGAGGCCCGGATGGGCTCTACTGGCATGGCGCGGAAGCGGCGAAGGCGCATTTACGGGGCGCGTGAGTGACGCCTTTGCCGCAAAACTTGCATACGGAGTCGGGATTTGCAACCGAACAAAGAGCAGGCCTTTGGAGACTTTTAATTAATTCACCCTTTCGACTTTTCCCATTTTAAGTGCTTATTCTAACTTTCCACCTTTATAATACGTTCTAGCTACTACTTCTCTTCACCTTCACTTTCTGACCTTAAAAACAATTTTGAAAACTTGACTGCATTACGCATTTGTTTTAAATATACCCTAGTAGGTGAGAAGCGGTTATTTCATGAAAATTTCCCGCCTGACTGAATGCCGCTGACCTCTGAATCCTTCTATATCACTTTTCCAGCAAAATGTACTCTCTCAACCAGACCGCCCAAGTTTTTTGGAGGAAGAAAGAGTGCATTTTTGAGCTTGCAATGCATGTATATTCAGCGCATCTATGCATGTGTGTATTTTATTCCCCATTGTACGCATGTACGCTGTGTCTGTGCGTGCACGCCTGCATAACGGAAATGAAGGACCGATTTGGGGTTGAGGTGGCTAGGTAAGCGGGCAGGCGGGGACATCACTAGTTGTGCACAGGTTTGTCTTGGCGGTAGAGCTTCTTAGCCGGTGTCAAGTACACTGTGTAGGTGGCCTTCTCGGGGCAAATATCATTTTCAAAGTGACCTGTAAGCAGGCGACTTGCATTCCAACAATAGAAGGAGGCCATGCTAAAGCCCATCTTTTTCTTTGAGAGAAAAAGAGGATGTAAAAAAAGCCCTAATAGACCTTGTTGCAGAGGCAGGCATCAGTCAAACTAACCGGATCATGAGAGAGCACGGTACCCACACCAATGATGGGACCGTCAATGTTGAAAGACGTCTGGTATTTCTTTAGGCACGGGAAGGTGTGATAGGGCTCCTGTGGCAGCTCGCACTAAAATCACAAGAATGCGACAATTTACCCATTCCTTGATGATAAAATTAAGGTAAGGTTTAAAAAACTTTGCTGGCTCAAAGCTCACTCACCAGTACACTGGCCTGAGCTCCGCTATTTTGCAAGTAGAAGACACCACCCAAGGCCATGGGGAGCTCCTGTTTGGAGAACTTGTCATAGAGAGCCGCCTGCATAAGATCAATGATGCTCGGCCCACCGATTCGTTTGTGTGCCACTATCTCAACCACCTTGCCGGGCATTGCTTCGGTGATGAAAATTTGGCCCAGGGAAGAGAGCAGTGTGTTACTAGCTCGCTCCGATGATGGCGACCCACACTAAATTAGAAGTAAGAAGGTAGTAGACGTGGTGTATTTTGCTATTTGGCAAATCGGCTTTCATCTATGCTGCCGAAATTGCAAGTTAATAAAGAAGCTACAAAGAGATGCCTTTACCTAGAAGTCGCAAATATTTGACAGATGGAACAAGTAATCTTTCATTAAAGGCAGAGAGGTTGGGCTCCGACGAACGACGGATGGATGCAAGGCTAGGCTAATGGGTTGATGCGGATCAGATTAAAGGGTGGATAAAATCAAAATTATAATGGTGTACTGAGTAAACTATAAATAGTAAAATAACAGATTTACAAGGCAATCTTAGCTTAAAAATCATGGGTTTCTTAGGTGTTTGTGAGTGTTAAAATATTTTTCCCAAATGCTGCAAAGCAATTGCGATGATTCACACTCCGTCTCACTAAGAGGTATAATGTTTGGTCTTACTTCAAACCTAAGAGGATGATCAAATTCTACGAACATATCTTTACAAACGTCACTAAATCAAGTATAGAATTCAAAGAAACTTTTACAATCATAAAAATTGGGCGATTTAAGGAGCATCTAACTGTTATTTTAAAATGGTTAGTCTCAATGCTCAAAATGTGCTAGTAACTGATTGACTTACTTCTTTTGAGCAGAATCCTATGAGTGATCGATTGCATTGAAGACCACGAGTTGAATAGGTGATTTCAGTAGATACCTAGAGATTTTTAAAAGGAAATTACCATTATATTTTTATTTATTGCTTAAACTTAAAATAATGCGGATATAACTTACTTCACACGGCTTTTTGTAACACTGGAACGGGCCAACTCCACCACCTAAAATCATTCCTTGGCAATGTCCAGTGTATTTTGTGATATCCATTATATCATAGAGCTAAAAGTACTATAACAAAAGAAAAGAAAATGTCTACTCTAGAGGGGTCAGCACATGGAAGCAGATAGTCAAGACTTCCAACATTTGCAATTGTAGAATCACCGCATATGCCTTAAAAATTCTGGTAAAAAGAAAAAACACATACCAGACCGCCCTAAATAAAAGGGTCTTTGGTTGAGATTTGGACACTCAACAACCTTTGCAGTTAGGTGACCAAAGTACGGGGTAAGATAGCATTCGAGAGCTAAAGTAAAAGCATAAAAAGTTGTGCATTTGTTGCTTTACTGCTGCACACGTCGTAAAGGATTCTGTTCGCCATTCCTGAAAGCACTGGACAAAACGAATTAGGGCTTTGTTCTTCTGCTTCTTCGCAGCGGCAGCGAATTCCCCGTTGGCAGTGCCACTGCATGAAAGTAATCTGTTACCGTTGGTATTAAAAAGAACCTCGCCTAAAGGTCTTAGTGGCAACAATATAATAAAATAAACACAATTCCCTACCCCCAAAACCAAAAGCTCCACAGAATTCGGAGATTCTAGTTTGTATGGGAGAGAACATGGTGAGTGAGTGTATATATGCCTTCATATAATTTTGAAAGACAGATGAAATAGTATCGCAAAAAATTGAAATAATTTGTGGCTTTAATCTGTCATACAAAGCCATCACTTAAAATAGCATACAAAAAATTTTAATCGTGCCATGTTTAGCGCTTTGGAAAAAAATTAACTCTTATACTTTAAAGTAAGAGCTCAAAATGTGAAATTTCTTTTGTGCTACATCATTCTATACGGTATAACAATTACATGATTTTGAAGTGAAAAATGTAGGCTGATTGAACTATAAGTAAGTCCCAAAACTCTTGCTAAACGAATAATTCAGCTTTTTGAATATGATGTAGAGGAATCTAGTTACATTCATACAATGCTGCAAGCTTTTGTTTAACTCCCCTTTTGATAATGAGCCACTTGCGGCTCCCCTGGCGTACCTCCCCTGGGATGTCTAACTAGCGGGTTATTCCGGTGTCTTCCTTCCTTGCTGTACCTTGACAATAAGTTAAAGAATCTTCACCGTTTAACCCTCTACATTCGGCCTTCATTCCATTGGAATATGTAGGGTGACCAAGTAATGACGTTTTTGTTAGTAATATTTAAGACAGCAAACAGAGGCTGAGGACATGCGCGCTTAGAACGTTCCTTCATCTCAGGGATTTCCAACAATTTTTTCATTCTGAGATTTGCATTAACTGAATGCTTATCAACAAAAATGTGCATTTAAATAGACGTGAATTATAATATGTTCTATCCGAGTACCTCGTGTTATTTCATTGTCCCTGATGTCTCGGTGCGGCAAGAGAACTTATTTTAAAGGATTCCTATCCTCCTTTCAAGTACTGAGTGATGAGTCAGCGTGACGAGAGAAGAGCATATGCTGCGGGTGGGAAATGTGTGACATCCCCTGACGGAGAAGGCCTGGAAATGATGTCTACCTTCGTAATCACCCCAGTCCCGTGTTTTGCAAGAAGGATGTTTATAACTGAGGCGAAACTGACCGTAAACAATCTGGAAAAGTCCGTTGTGAAGTTGTCTACGGTACCCGTATGGCGATACCAATTAAGTTAGTACCCGATACCTCCACCTTTTCTAGCTCTAAAGAGAGGAAAACGTGACAAGAGGAAAGACACGAAGTCCTGCCTCCACAAAAGTGTTCAATACCGTCCTATACTTCTGGGTCCGTTTTCCACTGGCTAGCTGTGAACACGCGTGATGGCCCGAATTAAAGCTGTCTTACATGACAAAGCTCCGTTTCCGGTGGAATTACCAAGAGGGATTAGTGGCCTTGCGGTCAAGTTACTCCTCCCTTTCGTGGGTGTTTGCCTTACAGCACCAACTACGTTGCAAGGACTGACGCAGGGGGGATGACTGTTGCTCCTGGTAACGGGTTGTTGTACCCCCCCCCCCCCGAGTGGCCTGGCCCCCAAGCCATGCCATTAGCTCCAAACCCTACTGTACGTCGGCAATACATATTCTGCCCAAGCATTATGTCCCCTTTTGTCTTAAGGGAAGTCTCGGGTCTCTGCACATGCATGCATGCTCCAAAAATTAGAAAAGGTCTTCCTCAGATCAAGTCATTGCGAACCGGATGGCAATCCCCAGAGGCATTCTTTACTCATATGCACTGGAATGCCACTTTTCGATTCACAGCCCCGCGCTTCAATTGGCTCCAACGACTGGCTAAAAGGTCGTCAAGGCTCGACCCTCTCCGGGTAAATAGCAACCGCCCCAGGAAGCAAAGATTGACCGTCAACAAAGCAAAAAAATATATATCCAGCAAGTAAGTTCCAGACCATACACACACGAAGTGAAAAGGAGAAAAGTCACTACTCGATTAGCGATGCCTCCGTTCCACCTTCTGTGTCCTCTGGTGTGCATCCACTTTATTCTTTGCATTTTTCTTCAGCTGATGCACCTGTTCCGCCTTCTCCTTCGACCTCGCTTCCGCGTATTCGCGGGCTGAAATGACCCTCGCCAACTTTTCTGCCTCTGCTGCACGTTCTCTATTACCGCCGCTTGAGAGTAGCACATCGTCTTTCGGCAAAAAAAAATTTGAAATGTCCAAAACCATCTGTTATCGAAGTTGCGAATTTAGATGACTATTGTCATTCAAATCGACTCGGTGAAAGCCTTTTTACTTACAAACCTTTCTTTCCTTGCCGCGACTTTCCCATCTTCGTCTCCACCTCATCCTCATCGTCACTGAAGAAGAATGCATCCATATCGTCAAGACGGTTACCACTCGGCCCGACAGCACCCAACCTTTCCCGCTGCCTTTCCATCATTCGCTGGTGCTTCTCCTCGGCCCTCGCACCAATATTCGCGAGGTGTTTTGAAGGTGGGGCTGACTTCTTCTTCATGGAGCTGGCTGCGCTGCCACCCAGTGGGGTGGGTGTGGCAGCGGAGGCACCAATGCTGCCAGCAGCTCGAGAATTAAGAAGGAGGTAACCGGGAGTGGAACTGGAATTAACATCACCCGGTGTAGGCATTCGTTTAAGATGTCGCGCGGACTTTAAATCTTCTGCGGCAGCAACCGCAGTATTGGAAGAACTGAATTTGCCCGGATTTAGAGTGGAGAGGGCATCCATTACACTGCCTGGTTTAATTCCTTCCCTAAAGAAGCAAAAAGCGGAAGCGAGATGTCCATCCCAAGTTTAATGTCAAATTGGTGAAAGACTACGTGGAACCGTCTCAAGAGTTCAATGACAAACTTACCTTGAACGCTTCAAGTAGTTGAGTGGGCGGGTGGATAGATGGATATAGCAGCAATGAGCAAATGAAATTATAAAGAAATGGGTTCTAGGACGTGGGAGCATAAATGATTGGGCTTAAAACTTTCTTGTTGGATGAAATGATGAATGGGTAAGCCTAAGAATGAATGGAATCACGAAGGATGGGCTTGGATCGCTTGGTTTAATGTCATGACGGAATGTGACCTAGGAATTAGTCGGTCAGACAGTAACAAAATCGCTCCAAATCCCGGAAAAATAAGGCCTGAATGACCTAGAGAAGTTCACACCTTTGTTTGTTAGTTGGAACAAATATCGGTCAGATGGATGCAGGATGGTGTTGGATGTGGATATTTGGATTGGACACATGAAGTGGGTACAGGACCAGGATGCATGGATGAAAGCAGCATGGGTGACAGGATTTGATGAATAAGTTGACAGAAACGGGATGAACAGATATATGAGTGATGCCCACATAGCTGAATCCGAGATAAGTGACTACGTGAAACGGGTGCTTCTAAATTCGTCAACCGTCAATCGGTTCGCAGAGAGATGAAAAAGTGGAGAGAGCAATGGGACCTCAAAAAGAGTGAAGGGATGGATGGGATGGTAGGCAATGAACGGACGAACGTAAGTAGGAACCAAAAGTCTGCTGCGCTTACTTTTTGGCGTATCCCTGAGTCTCCTCAATCTCCTCCAAATCGATCTCCTCTTCCCTCTCCGCTATCATCGCCGCCACTACGTCGGCTCCCGAGCCCGACTTTCCGCCTTTTGACACTGTGTTTACAGTCGTCGCGGAAGGCGAGACTCCACCGTTGATGCCGGTCGTCGCCTGTTTAGCGAAGTACTCTGCGTCCGCCAACGCCACCGTCAGTGCCGCCTCAGCCTCCTCATCGCCCTGGTAACCACTCACGCCTGCTGCACGAAGCACCGCCGCTGTACAAGCATCCCGTTGTTTATGTCGCTGATGCTCCTGTTTCTGATGGGACTGTTTTTTCCCTCCTTGAGTCTTTAGAGCCGTAGATTGCGTGGAGGAATTTGTGGGAGAGAAAGGATTGGCGTAGGAGGATGCCAGAGTGGTGGTATTGGCAACAACAGTGGAGATGAGGATGGAGCGCATCTGTTCCTCCAAATGGTCGAAATGTTCTGAGACGGTGGTGTTGGTGGCAGCGTTGGAAGAGGATGAGTGAGCGGACGCGGTGGCTGTGTAAGAGCCGTCGAAAAGGGGAAAATCATTAGATAAAATAAACCGACAGAAATCGCTGGAGCCATTTTGTAAATTCCTATGTAAAAAAACGGATGAATTAACGGTCTCGCTACGAAAAGACGAATCGATGGATGAATGAATGGACTAATGACCAAGAGGATACGCAAACGCATGTAATTCGAGGAAAAAATTCAGCACATCGCATTCGAGCCATATTGAGGGTAACAATGAATATGGACAAATGAATGGATAAACAAAGGCGTTAATGACTGCAAGGATGATGAATTAATGGAGGGATGACAAATGAAAGAATTGGTAAATCAAAAAAGGGGGGGGGGAAATAAGTAAGTCGGAGAATGGGTAGAGAGAAAGCTTTGAGACCAGTGAATCCGACATCGGTCAACAAGTAATTACGCGATACATGGGTGAGTGCATAGTGCAACAAGTGCAAGACAATAAAGAGAGGTGAATGATGATTCGAACAGAAGTGCAGGAGAAGGGGCGAAAATGGGATTGAGTGAATGAAAGTTGCCAAAATAGGAAAAAAAGTGCATAGGAAACGGATCTACGGGAGGAAACTCATACAACTCAAGCATTTATCAAACTATTAGCCAAAAGTAGGGATGATTGCATCGAGACATGATTGCAGACACGTAAGGAGGAGAGTGGTCAAACCGACAGGCCGAATAACCAATTTGCCAGTGGCCAGCCAACACATTATGATTAAGCACCCTAAACGAGCATGCGAATAGTTCGAGCGGGCAAGGCGCTGAACAAATCTTTCGACAATTTAAAAACGGCTATAACTAAGTGGTAGTTCGGCGAATACAAAGCTCTACACACAGAGAGGCATATTTACTGCAAAATGCACAAGCATCACCGCTACTTCTATCAGGCAGATAGGATGCTGCAACAGAGCTCATAGCAAGCCGCAAAAGGGCTGCTACGAACGTAGAAGTAAATGGCATTCAAAATCGAACTTAGAGGCAAATAATTATGCCCTACTATAAACAGTCAATAACGTACCTTTGGAATCGTGAAAACGCGAAAATATCATTTCACTGCCTTCAATGGCTGACTTTGAAGGCTGAAATTGGGAAAATACAGTTGGATGAGTTTTTAAAAAGCATGGAGATGCATATGTCCAACAAATTCAACTGACCAGCACGGACTCGAGAAAACTTCGAATACTGTCAATGATCTCCTGTTTATCCAATGTTTCGTCCTTTAAAAGACCTTCAATGTAATCACCATATACTTCAATATCGATATCGTTGCTAAGATGGGTTAGATATTTTTCCAGCCAGTCGGAGAATGCTGTGTTTGACGAAGTGGTGGCAGCCATCTTTTGAGAGGATGAGGATATACGATAGTTGAAGAAGCCACACTGTTATGAAAGTGTGGAGTTCCGAAAGAAACAAATAGGCAACAGAAATTACAAGCAAAAATTAAAGGGGCAAAAAAGTTGGCAGACGAGAACAAGGCTACAAAAATTGGCGCCCCACGCACCAAATGATGACTTGTACCTAGGGCTGATACATCGAAACGCGATCATCGGGAATAGGAATAGTAAAACACTTTTGCAACAGTGATGAATTCCTAAAAAGCTCGATTCACTCCGTTTTTATTATCACAAAAGCAGGCCATTTATCTTTTAATTTATGGGAATTTAAAGAGACGCATGTTCTGTCCTTAGACAATTTTTCAGAAATTGTTAAATGACGTTAGCAATAAAAAACGAATGATACTTTGACTGTATAAAATTCAGTTATAGTGACAGGAGTTTGGCTCTCGTTCAAGAAGTAAAATCAACTCATTGCGTAATAATTTAATGATCTGTTATTTTGAATATGTTTAGCATTACATGTAATGTAGCCTCTTAAATACGAGAAAATATTTAAAGCATTTTTCAGTCTGCATAAGATTTTGCAAGAACTATAGAGAATTTCCTTTTGCATTTTGTAATAGGGCACTATTACCCCATTTTTTCTATGATTGTATTAGCGTTTTCTTTGAATGCTTGACTTGGCTGCTTGCCATGTTTATCTGAACCAGAAATGCGTATTCGTTGTTTGTCGGCGGCTTTGGGCTGCTAGGCTAATGTCTGACGATAGTATTTTAAATAGGACGTTTGATATCGACAAGGTACTTTTTGTCCTCACACTTACGAAATGTGCTCGATTTTTCCGTGTGATTGTGAAGCTAGTGACTTCTTCTCTCCTAGTCCAATATTGACGTTGAGAAAGAGGAAACATCTGGCAACTCGGGATCACCGCATACGTCGGAGGGGCAAGTGTCTGTATCAACCTCCATAGTGGTAAGGACTCTGTTGGCAATAATTTGTTGTTAGCTTTTGCAAACAAAAGAGATTTGGGTTTGCACTAGTTCTAGAATTACCGCATCAGGTCAGTAAGAGCGTAAGATCTGATGACGATAACGGTTTCGCCTCTGTAAATAAATTGCACCTTTTACTGAATTCCTTTTTTTTCCGCAAATAAAGGGTCATGTGGGGAAGCCTTCGAATGTGGGCCGAGCGCTCGCTCCTACGCTTCCGGTCTCACCCTCTTTATCGAAGAATACGGCTAGGGTCAGACCAAAAGCTCCTTGGACTGATCGCCCAGTAGCTCGGAAGCGTTTCGAAGGCAATGCCTTGTTCGGTCAAGGTCTCAAGCGAACATTCCCACCTCCGTTCCCAGTAACATCATCTCTGTCGCGGGAATTGCGGTTGATGGTGCGGGGGAGTGATTTGGAAACTGAGAAGGAAGAGGTTATGACCCCTTCTAGCTCTGTGAATAACAGTGCTACGACTAGTGCTTATTTTATATCTGTAAGTGATGTGCGCTTCGTAAATTCTTCCATGCCTTTTCATCGAAAGTGCATTTGAAGGTAACTATTTGTCATGTGGATTTTAGACGCCTTGGAGAGAATACCTTAGAAGGGAAGGATTGAGAGGCTGTCTAAACCTCCAAGCTGAACGTCTTAAACAACGGCGCAACCTTCAACAAAAACAGGCGAGTTGTAGTGGTCGATCGTCTTTGTAGCACCGATTAACGAGACATTGTGTATGAAATTTTATAAAGTGTAAAAACCTTGTGTTGAACTGGTGATCTCATTTGTGCCGCTTTTGCAATGCTGTTGTCTTTAGAGCCTCGAGTATTGGTATTTACCTGTGCGGCAGTACTTACATGGTTTGTAAAGTTCTGGTTTGAGGTGCTAATTTTCCAATATTATGTAGATTTTTCATTTTTACATCAATGAAGCACCTGGATGGGTATCACCCGTGTCCCTAGGGTGGGTGGTAAAGACTCTGGTCCTAGAAGAATGGTTGGCCATTGTTACAAATCACATATTTATTAGTTGAACAATCATAAACACGCTACTAGTAGCATCAACTTTTCAACCCTGGTCGAAAATTGCACCGCAATTTTTAATCACCTTACCTTTGTGCAAGTCATTGGCACTGGTCTCCCATTCGCGCCACAGGCAAGTGGCATCAGAGTATTGGGCTACGTGTAGCGCTACAAAGTTGGCAACTTACCTTCTTTCAGGTGACTTGTGCAACCAGCACTCAATGGACATGTCTCTACACTGCAGTGCTTACGTGTACTTATCGGTATTTTGACGACTCAATTATCCACTGATAGGTGAGCACTTTCCTGCATCCCATCTCTGCGTTACGGTTACGCAATGTCATTTTAGCTGTATCAGTGAAATGGTGCACGTGGATCGGTGTGACTGGACATATCTGTGGCGCCTGCACCGAAGTAATGGGATGAAGAGAAGACCAACACCACCTGATCGAACCTTTGCGAGGGCCACAAGAGTGGCGGATCAGTACGTTGATCTCACCTCCCTCGCAGACAAGCGTCATAGGTGTGGGGTTTGAGAAGTGTCCTCATGTCGCGGCTATTAAGCGACACAATGATTTATGATATTGGATGATGAGATTAAGCCCTACACACTAAATAACTTCCTTGACCTGCTGTTGCTCACGCCTAATCTTCGCGATTGCATTGTTGTTGGATTGTGGAAGTGACAGGCACACTGCAAGTCACTAAGTCCCGCCAAATGTCATTGAGTCTGACCTGACGTAACAGAGACGAAGGCATCGCATTCACTCTTGCCCTAAATCTAACCTCTCAGTTTACCAGTTCTCGACTTCATTCTGCCTGAGAGGTTCATGGTCGGCCTGCATCGTCGCACTAGCAAGTGCTGGCGTCGTCTGCAAGCTAGGGAAGCATGTCTGTTGCATTTTTCAAGAGGTCTCCGTTTTCGTGGCTACTTGTCCACATTCTGATCGCTCTGGGCAATTACACTCTCGGCCAGCTCCACCGCTAGGTGCATATCACCTATAAGTAAAATCTAAATGTGCCACTTATCGCTGCCAAGGCAGAATTCAAGCCCCTGGTGGACTTTGACCAGTGAAAATTTGTCAAATGACACTACCGCAGCGGAGGATGGCGATACGTCATGAAGAGAAACCAAAATCCTAACCGGCCGGTACCTCCTCTACTCCAGTTTACATCCATCATGTCAGCAGCGCTAATTTTATGCTTGAATCCCTCCTTCTTCCGCCTTTATTGGCGAAACCGTTGCGGTATCCTCATTACTAGCCGAACCACTGGAGGTAACTTCTTGTTCCGATTTGTGTCCACGGCTACTTAGTTGTGTTCAGTAGTATAGGGCAGCGAAAAAAACAATAGGTGGTAACTGGGTGACGGATGAATATTCTTCCAATTCGGCTGGAATACGGGAAAGAAGCATTTGTCATGCCACACTACTTGCTCCATTTAAGCGTGGCGAGTAAATGCTACTAATGAAGCAGATTGTGATGAGTGGAAAGACGTGACAATCATGAGATGTCTTCTTTTGCGAGAGTAAACTTAATCATATCACATCATTCCCAAATGATTTGTCTGCCCATCAATTAACAAATCGTGGAGGTGATTTGACGATGAGTTCACATACCCGCGCTGATGGTTCGTCAGGGCAAATAAAATGCCTTCATTTTCCTCAATACGAGGTGATTAAGAGTGCCAAGTTTTTGTTTGTTTGAACGGACATTCGTCCGTCCGTCCGTTCATCTCCTCATACGAAGAGAAGCTGATTGGTTGCACATGCATCTGAGGTAAAGTCAGAATCGCTTGCGGCAGTTGGCGTGGCACTGTGGATGGTGTAGCGTCGATTCCACCGCTGCTTTACCCTCTCCACTCCATTCACTTATGCGTGTGTGCGCCTTGATTTGGCAACACACAACGCTCTTTCACTTCATTACACGAGCATTCAGTCAGACTTCGCACCTGTTGGGGCTTTGCTCGGTCACCTTCATTCTGTCGTGTGCACATTCCTCCATGGGGGCCACACGTAATTCCGCCTCCTTCATCATACGCCGATTTGATTCGATCGGCTGCTTCTCGTCACCTTCCACGTTGGGGTGGGTTTTTGCGAGGCAAACATCTCATATCGACACCATCACATGAACGTGCAAGCCAAAGTACAAGTGACTGAAGTATAGCAGGTCTACTGCATCACCGGTAGCCTTGCATATTCGCTGATGTCTGCACTGAGCTGCCACTGTTGCAGAATGAGCATAGGGGAGTGTCAACGTCAAATGAGCTGAACCTACCCGCTTCCATTTCTGGCAAAATATTGGAGAAGCCGCAGATGACAGCGGATACGATGGTGCATTCTCAGGTCGATGGACAGTGTGAATGTGTGTCGCGTTCAAAATTGAGCAATCAAGAGGGTCCCTTTCTACTTGGACAAAAGACCGCATCGTAAGACTTGACAGCAGGGGCTGTGAAATGCAAAGTAGCACATGCTTCAAGACCAAGACTCGAGGTACGGTAAAACAAGTTGGAGCGAGGTCCTGTCCTTTCAAAGCAAGCGTAATCCAGTACGATCAGTCGAACGATGAAGTGCTAAAAGGAGGCAAATTGAAGTGTTTCTTCATTCTCCCCACTCACCGGTCCAGATTCTTTAGCATCGTGGCCCTTGGCGTTACTTTAATTCCATCAATCAAACACTCGCTGTTGAGACAAAAAGGAATTGGTCGGGATCTGTTAGATCCTGTGATTTCTTCATTGGTATAAAGGTGACGTCTGCCAAACCTCATACTCCCTTAAGAATTCTGCAAAATACTGCAGAAGAAGTGATAAATTCAGCACTTTCTTACAACAGTGCTTATGCATACTCTTGGATGGTTTTTAAGAATTCCAACAGGATCACTCGTTTGTAATGAATTCCCTTCGGGACTCAATTGCGGGTTTCACTGTCTCCAGTTCCCAGCGCTCTCCACATTTCTTCTCCTCCAGTTCCCAATTTCTCAGGACTGTTATGAAGACTACCTTTTACCCCTACGGAGGCCTTCAAAGAATGTAAGTTTAGCCGATTTCGTGCCTTGTAAGTTGTGCTATCACACCACATTGAGGATGTCATTGCTTAGCCCAGTGGCCAGTGGAATGGCTATCGAGTGGTTTAATATTTGCATACTTTTTTATAGAAGAATGACTTCAGCTCATTTGAATAAAAATTTAAAAGTTTTTTTAAATGAGTTCCAAAATTTGCCCATGTCCTACGCAGCCCGGCGATGCTCATAGTTTAGAAAGTTTCTCCCACACGTACTTGTTTGCGTGAACCTTGGGGCTGAGTCGGTGTCTTCATTCATCGGCGACCCATGAATCACGACGAGGAGGCTAAAAACCTAATCCGTCCCAGCACTGCGTGTTGCTGTCATGGTAGAGTGTTAAAACTTGAGGCGATTTGAATGGCACCAACGCCTAGATTATGTCCTAATGCAAATCTGGTGCGCTTTTTAAAGGTCCGCCTGCAGATGGCCACCGCGATTTTGCGATATAGACGGAACATAGTAGAGAGCAGGTAATGAAAGAGGTGTCATAGTCCGTTTCACCGTATGACGATCTATTTCGCTTTATTATGGGGCAAAATTCCTCGTTTTAAGTGGTGATGATCCGCACCGAGAGGGCATTGCGTCTCCCCTCTTCTCAACTTTATGATATGACTGACTGGCGTACAGGCAGACAGATTGTGAGCAGAACCCAAACCTGTTGAGGCTGCTTCGCGGAGAGCAGTTGTTTCTAGCTGCTGTAGGGAATGCTTTGGGATATGATGAATTAATCGAGCGAGGGTAAGGTGAAATAATGGCAAAGTTTATGTATTTATTATTCTTCTTTTATTCAGAAAAACTTGAAAAAGACTAAGCACGATCAAACACAGGAGAGTCAAAGCGGCAGAGAGCATGGAGTTTTTCTACTTTCACCACTTGAAGACGAAGGTTCCGTGTTGACAGAGGCAGGAAGAAGCAGAAAAAAAAATATAACGATGTCGTAAATTATCTTATGCCCGCAGGAGGAGGAGGAGGAGGAACTGTTTGCTGTCGCAATCATGGTAGAAGAGGAGACCCTTCCAGCTACATCGACGCAATAAATGGACCCTTCTCCCAGCGCTAATCAGTCAATCTTCCGCAACGGAGTCGGTGTTCAAACTGCATCCAACTGACGTCGTTGGCTTTAGGTCTGCTGGAAGACTGAGAGGGTGACGCGATGGTTCAGTAGTGGTGGCCATGAAGATGGGTGCACCGAATTCCTTATCGCACGAGTAGATCTACTGTTCTCTCTTCTGTGTGGTAGATGGATAAACAGCTGGCTAAAAGGAAGTCCTGACTGGCCAAGAAGAAGGAATGGGTCTGACGTTGGCGAAATGACTGGTAAGCCGTTGATGGTATAAAACGCCCAAGATTTCCATTCTTTTGCAATCTGATGGAAGTTGAATAAAGCAATGACGTCACTTTTATGGTAATGACGGAATCCACTCTGTTAATAGCTAAGCATTCAATCCCCGTCAGTGATGTCTTAGTTGTTTTTTCAGTCGTTCCAACTAGTGAGCTGCTGTGCCTCAGTTATTGAATGCCAAAACACTAGAATGAATCACAAAGATCATTCTTTTGCAAGCGGTTATTTCTACGTTTGTGGCCAAGGTTACAGATAATAACTATCGTGGAGTGGCCAAGGCAACACTGATGTCGCCTCCCCCCTCCCGGTTTCCAATGCTGCTTGCAAGCCTACAGTCGAAGCTGCCTATCTGGTCTCAGCAACTTGTCAAAACGCCGTTGGTGTCTTTTTGATCCAGGCAATGCCAAAAAGGCGAAGCAAAGGTCAAATTCAGATTAGGAGGTGGGGAGTTACTCAGGTCAATGTGGAACTTGTGAGCCTCGAAAAGAGTACAAAGGACAAGTAATTACCTTCATCTCCCAACTCCCTGACAGACATTGCATTTATGGAGAAAAAAAATCTCCCCGATTAAAACACACCGAGTTTTTGACGAATCAATGTTTGCCTGCCCATGCGAGTACATCGAACTTCACGGGAAGAGAAGACAAGGCAAGGTGGAACCCTTAGATTCTGTCTGTGGATTCGCAGACCAACACTTTGATGTGTGTGTGTGTGTGTTTTCACACAGAGTTGGATCTTTATCCAAACACAGAATTAGTGGCATTTCGTGCAGCATCGTGAAAAATTTGTAATCAAAGCATAAATTGACACGTTGACAGCCCCTACGTTATTAATCAGACGGCGGAATGAGTAAGCACGTTTTTGCCACATTTGCGTGCATATGCCGTGACCTTGTGACCGCCAGTCGAATTGTCACGTCAGCGCCGTATTTTTGTTTTACTTTTCATCTGCTTGCATCCAATTGGCTGCTTGACATTTATGCATAAATGGGCACTCTCATGCAAGGTCTTCAGTTTTTTTTTCAACTTTGTTTTGTTCAGTATGTCAGCTGATGGCTCGTCCACGTCTACCGGTACGTCCATTAACCAACTAACGCGCGATGACAATCAGATGGTCGCTGACCCTGGCACGAGCAGCAGGAACAACGTCAACTTAAATACACCGACGTTTAATATCATCCACCAGCAGGTCACCAACTTATTATACTTCTCACTTCTACTCGATATTTATTCTCCTACTTACCCATACATTTCTGGTCACCTTTTTCAATGATCCATTTATTTGATGAGTGTTTGTTTGTTCTTCCCATCTAATATTCACTTCCAACCTCACTGTTTCAGATACCGGGTACCACAACACCTGACAAGAAGTTGTCAGCAACACAGATTTTGGAGAGGACTTCGCTGAAGGTGATAAGCGTTAGCACGTTTAGTGACTATCGTCACTGTCTTTGTTGTACAATTTGAAAAAATTCTACATACTTTTTTTTTCCGATTTCAGAACCGCCGAGACATGTCAGAGGAGCAGGCAAAGCGGGTGGGTGATTCTGACAATGGCAGTGCTGGCGTTGAATGCACTGACTTTTATGTGTCCAGTTTATTGACTCCCCTCTTTTCTTGACTCCTTCAGCGAGAATTTTGGAAATCCGTCAAGCCGATTCCACTGCCCAATTTTGACTAGTGAGAGAAGATGGGACGTAGACCGAACTGTTTCTATGCTGGTAGTACTTGGTCAGACCAAATGGACTTCTTCCAGCCAAGTGTGGAGGGCTTTCAGTTTTTACAAATAAATTACTCCTTGGATATGGATGTCTTGTCTACTTTGTCAGACTTTCGAAGTGATTCCTCGTCAATTTTGACGGTTAAGCCTTGAGTAGGTGGAACAGCACTTCCGCAATATCGCCTCCCACTTGATACATAAGCGGACTTTTGTCTCGGATTGAGCGAGATTATGTGTTCAATAGGGACCGCGGTCCTCATTCCCATTCGTTTGCGTCGAAGTCAACTACCTTAGGCTAAGTGTTTGATCCTGACATGTGGAGGCACTCGTGAGACCCATCCCAATAATCACGGTTGTCTTGGTCTAGTCACCTTCTAAGGCCCACTGTTCCCTAAGACGGCCTAGTCGGTATGAGTTTGATTTATCCCAGCAGAATCACTTGGTCCTTCTCCTAAGGGTCTACCGACCTGGAGGTCGACAGGATGAAGGAAGAGGAGTGACTCGTTTTGAGAGCATGGAAACAACATCCATGAGGAGATGCTGGGTTCGCGATTTACAGATTGGTTGATAGTGCTCAACACGTAACAGTTGATTGCCTAGCAAACCGGTAAATGAATCTCATGGCGATAATTGGAGTTGGGTGGGAGCTTCTCGATTTCTGGGCTTGTCTTCAACTTTGTCAGGAATTTACATTTCGTAGCGCATTTTGAAGTGGTTTAGATCATCACGCTCGACTGCACTGAGGCTTGGTCAGCTAAATGCAATTTGGAGTAGTGGGATGGACAAAACTCCCCTGCCCAACTGGCGGACTTCTTGTGACTTTTTGCCAAGTTATAACCATTCCGCCCGTCTCTTTGGTAATTGCCGTTATGCACATTAAGCCTTTTGAAAGACTTTGCTCATTTTTTTAAGATGTATTCGGCGCCATTGTTTTGTCGTCTATTCAAAGTTGGAGTGGGTGCCTTCGGGACCAGGCTGCTCTGTAGACAAGCAATTGTTGAAAATGCCTCGGCCCACTCGGCACTTTCCATGCGTAGTCATTTGTTACTTTGTTTTAGCTCGTTTTGTTTCGTTAAATGTCACCGCGGGTCTTTCAGTCTTTGGAAGCTTAACATCCGCCATTGGTTTTTCACCCGCCCTTCCAAGCATAATGTATCTCCCATTGCAGGACTCCAACTCTGAGATCACTGTTGGTGAGTTTTGCGAGTAAGTTATCGCCAAATGTACAGCCGCCATTATTCGTGCAACAGTAAGGAAACCAACATTCTTGGAGCATTACTTTACCCGATAACCAGGATCTTCAAAACAGGACAGCCGATTTTCTTTCGCACTTTTTTCTCCGATTTTCCGTCATTTCTGCCAATCCTGTTAGCAAATATCTGCGTGGAGGAGGGAACGAGAAGCAGAATGTTGGTGTCTCGGTATCATGGGCAGTTCAAATCCCTTAGTCGTTGCTTTCGTTCACCTGTGCGTCAGGATCTAACGCATGGATAGTGTTTGCTAGTATGAAAATGCATAACACTGGCATAACAGGTGGATGAACTCAGGCGTCTCTACCTCCACCCTGGATATTGCAAACCACGTTGGCACAGTTGACTGATCTACAGCTGTCGTATTAACAGTGCTGAAACATGGCTGACTCCCTCCCTCCGCTGTTTTGATCCGCCAACCTATCGAGGTGGATAATACTCACGTGTACTTATCTGTCTTCATTATCTACGATTCGGATGTTGGTGGTACTGGGATTCTGCAGTTACTGGTAAGATCATCGCTCTATCATCGCGATTTTCAGCCCTAAACAATCATAATAAATTGATGAAATTGTGTGAATGGAGAGGATTGCAGGATTCTCCACACCTGCCTTCGTGGGATGAGAGATTTTCTGTATCTAAGCCAGGCTAACTGATTGAACCGATGATCCAGGTAGGCGCCACTTGGCGAATACTTACAAACGATGATAGCGGCGTGTGTGAGGTGAAACAATTAATAATGTTCAATATCTCGCCCACGCCGTGACGGAGGTGGTAGGCAGAGGAAAGGGTACACAAGTGATATCAAGAATGACCTAGTCGAAAGGAAATAGGAAGCGGTCTCATCGGTTTACTTCAGCCTAGCTGCGGGAATTTGAAGAACATTTGGAAGTGCGCTCTACGCGAAATAATACGACGCATTTCGCTTGCAGATGATCCATACCGAGGGATCTCCACCTCACTGCGGATGTATCCCAGTAGGTTGTCTGTAGGGGTTGAGAGTCTGTGGAGGTAAGCTCAAACATATAATCATCTAATAGGGTTGGTGAGAAGGGTACATGAATTTCAGACAGCTGTGTTGCTTCGGGATTGAAAGTCGCCTTAGTCGCATGACGGACGTGTCCAGGGTAACAGCTCCGTATTCCTTTGCCAAGATCGAGCAGACCATGTTGTCCCTTAGCATCAGCATCTGCCTATTCTTATTTACTGGTGGATGGTGGTCCATGCGTCCGTTGAATTTTCATGCATTTTTTTCACAATTTTTAGTTAAAATATACATCAGTTGCTGTCATGCTTCAACCAAACATGCCTACTGACAATGGAAATAAAATTGTTGCAAGATGTGGTTTTTTTCTCGATAATTATCTCCTTTGAATCCCTTTTGGGAGTTGCATAAGTGGGATTCCTAGCTTGAGATCTCCATTCTCAAAACGCTCACAAATTGCCAAAATCGCACACATTGACTAAATAGCGTGATCATTTTCTTCGCAATTAATTAAAATAGTGGTAGCATTCTGAACCACACATTATAGGTTGGCAAACTTTTATGATCCATCAATTCTTATCTTTAGACTCGATTTAGCGATGTTCCAGAGATCATGATGAAAGTTCGGAGATGAGTCACCGCAGTTGTTTAAAGGTCATACTCTTACCCACCCCTCCTCATTTGCGTCCTAAGTCATGTTTTCAAGCTAAGCCATCTGGACTCTGACCCCACTGTCATCTTATCAACTATAGCTTTGCCGAGGTCCCCTGATATTCGGCGTGTTTCCACGGCCTGGGTTGGGATTTAGGATTTAACAACGTTTGAGGTGGGAGGGTAGGAGCGGATGCATGACGTACCTCAACATTTGCCTGTTTTGTAACCAAGGCATACCCAATTTCATCGACTATGCTTTGCTAACAACCTGAATATGCGATAAGTATTGAAGCTAGACTACCAGCTGCATTGTTGGCTGTATGAGTAGGTCCGTGTTGGAAGCGTGTGCCCAAGGCAGATGGCCTCCCTGTCCTCCGGGCAGTCGGCTTAACAATCACGCTCTGTGAGTCATCTCAGTACCACTGCTAGCATTGAGGTCAAGGCTTCGGTTAATCAAAGCCTACCACCTCCAAACTAAAACATGAGTTACGGATTTCTCACCTAGCCGAATGTCACGTGTGTGATAGACTGTCACTTAGTCAGCCCTCTGTCAATCTGCCTGAAATTCCAGCATACAGAATGAAGGAATAAGCAAAGATAAATACTTTTCAGACGTTGCATTTGTTTGGTGAGAAAGTTTATTCAATTGTAGATGCATTTTGTCGCAACACATTGCTGTCAGAGGCTAGGTGCCCGTTAAATATATGCATTACGAAGCATTAAGAGACATGCATTAGCCCTCGGTACGGCTGGGTGCAATCCTCTGTGCTCTACGCCACTTTTACTTAGATTTCAAAGTGTCCACCGGTATACCACGTCAGTTATGTCTAATTGGTGTCGGTTTTATGAACCAGGCCTCAGTAGACTTCAAACATTCCAAAGTTCTTTGTTAATCCACTTCACCATTTGAGGGGGAGAGGGGGAGAAAGAAGACATTTTAGTAATGCTTCACATCCAAATTGACGAAATGAATGGTTAACACCTATATTAAGCAGAAACAGTATCGTGAACATCCAATTATATAGAGGCGTCCATCTAAAATGCGACAATATGCTATCGCTTCGTGTCCATTGCCCATTTCGTTAAGCTAGTTATATTCCTAAGTGAGAAATCAAAACACCCGTCTTCCCATCTTTATGTTGAATTACTCTGTCTTGTCAAAAGTCAACAACGAAAGTAAAGTCTTGCACATGGAGGTATTAAAGATCTGCCTTCCATTGTCTCTTACCTCATTCGTCGTTTGAAGTGGACGAGGGATATTTTGGAGTAGGTATTCACTCGCAACTGGCCAATATCTCTAATGAAATACTTCCTTGCACATTTAGGTGGGTATGTGTGTGTATGTACAACATAATGTGGAAATAGTGTGGATTGGGCCTTTCGACACATTTGCTCTCTGCTTTAGATTGGAGAACTCTGGTGTTTCTAATGTTGAGTGTCTGCATCTAATGCTCTTGCTAATACCCGGCACTCCAACACTTCATGAGGAATTGGTCTCACATGCAAGCTGGCCCGCACAGAGGTCAGGTCTCACGCCCAGGACAGCTCAAATTCAATTCATCCGGTTTAGTGATTCTGTTGAATATTCGTCTTCTCTTCTCCAGAAGTAGTCAGCTTTGCATGTTTGTCGCTCCATTCTGACGCTAAATCGGTTTGAATGCAAAAGGACAAAGTTGAAGTAAACGAGTCAAAATAAGGGGAAGAATGCATGGAGCTTCCTTCAAGCATGGAACAGTATGGAATTAAGGCAAAGATACGGAACTTCACGCGTTAAGTGATGCATTGGATGGTGGCTTTGACGGTGCAGTTTGTCCACGATCGTGGTCGGTGGTGCTGGATAGTGAATGAATACGAAGAAAGAAGAGGAAATGACGCCCTCTTGCTCAATAAGTGACAGTACCAGGACTAATATTCGTTGAATACCTATGGGTGACGCACGCTTGGTAACTTTTTCCATGCGTTTTCATCAAAATTGCAAATGAAGTCAACTATTTGTTGTATGGTGGATTACAGACGCCTTGGCTGTCACAATCTCCACGCTGAACGTCTTTAACAGCGGTGCGACCGGTAACGAAACAGGCGAGTTGTAGTGGTGTAAACGTTAGTCAAAGCCAAAAGATTAAAACGTATGTCAGAGGTCATTCCTTTGCAGGCCGTTATTCCTACTTTTGTGGCCTAGACCACAGGCATTAAATATCGAGAAGTGGCTATTGGCAACACTGATTGCGCCCCTCATTTTGATTTTCATATTCATTTTACAGTCATAGCTGCCTATTTGATCTCAGCAACTTGACCCAATGCCATTAGTGCCTTTTTGATCCAAGCAAAACCAAAAAGGCGAAACAAAGATCAAATTCAGACTAGGAGGTGAGGGGTAACTCAGGTTAGTGGGAAACTTACGGGCCTCTAATAGAACACAAATGGCAAATAGTTGCCTTTAACTCTCAACTCCTTGGAAGATATTGCACGTTGGGATAAAAAGGAATGTCCTTTCGATTGTATTTATGACTTATCTGGCAAGTCGATGTTTGCCTGCCCATGCGAGTAGGTCGAGGACATCACCTCTAGCCTCCTCAGGCTGTAATTAATCTTCACTGAAATAGAAGACGAGACAGAACTCTTCGAACTTGGCCGTGAATAGCCACACTGACACCTTCGGTGTATGTGTGTGCCTTCACACAGAGTTAAATAAAGATCCCACCGTGCCTCATTTTTCGCGTGAGGTGGTAGACAAAGACAGACCTTGTCTCAAGAGAATCAGATGCAAGCCCATAAGCCTTCTTTTACCCATCTATGACAATTTGAAGCCTCCTTCACACAAAATAGAAAGTCACATTTCGCTTGCAGGCGAAATATAGAGAGAGACTGCTTGTCTCAATCGCAATGTGCTCAAAGTTAACAGGATTGTGTAGGTTGTTTGTGAGTGTTGAGGGATTGTAAAGGCAACTCCCACCATTTAATTATCTCAAAGAATAGGGGGTGGTGAGGGGGGTACACGAATTTCCCGACAGCAGTGATGCCTCAGATTTGATGATCACCTCAATCACGCAATGAGCACATTTTCGTGCAGGCCATATCCCCTCCACCAAGATCAAAACAAGTCAGTATTTCTTTTCTCAACATTGTCAGTATCTACTTACATCTTACTTGGCAGTGGAAAATGACCCTTTGTGCTCAATAAATTGTTTGTATATTTCCTCTTGATTTTTGGTTAGAAGAAATAACCGGTGAGGTCATGACTCATTTAAACATGCCCTCCAGGAATGAGAATGAAGTTGTTACAAGACCTGTTTTTCAAAGTAATCATCCCCCCACTGTGCCTCTTGGGAGTTGATTAAATAAAATTCCTAGCATAATACCGCTGTGTCCAGTCACTTTTTCACACCCTCGGAAAGCGCCTAA